TCTACGGGCTTCTAAATTAGGCACCTCGACACTATGACCATCATAAAGGTTGTTTAGTAGCAACTAACATATCGAAAAATCTACGGGCTTCTAAATTAGACACCTCGACACTATGACCATCATCAACAAATTCTGGTAAATTTTTTCGAAATACATTATTCACCGTTTGAATATTACCAATGGGTTCAGGTTTTGTTGTAGTTTTCTTTCATCTTACCAGTTGTAAAATGAGCACCAGAACTAGCAAAATTAACCATTGATTCGTTCTCCCCATGTGCATACTTGTAACCCGGCATAAACCCATCCCTACACGAATGCTTCCACACACCGTTTACCGTACCATATCTACCTACGATGAAAAGTCTTTCGTATTCGTGATGGTAGATTTATTTTATTATCGGTACCTTTATGATGGGATTGCTAGAGTTAATTCAAGTCCGTAGACTTTGTCAAGGAATGGTAAACTTAATATTGGAATATTTGGTGGTAGAGATGTTTAAATTATACAAAAATGAGCCACTCCATACAATTTTTTGAGAAGATCGATTTAACCCTTTATTCTTTTATCAAACGTTTCAATGCAGCTAAAATAAACAGTAAAAACGATCCTATATTATTGACAGCAACCTGCTTGTAGATCAAAGGTAACGAAGCAAGATTTACACAAAGAAAGTTACAACACATCTATACAGATTCGAACAGAATCATATCGAACTAGACAAGAATTATGCTCTCTTTGGTCGTATATACCCTCTATAGATCCTAAACTCTAATTATTTACTTTGATCGTATATCCATATCAGAAAAAACCGCCAAGATCGCAAAAGCCTGTCTTTTACTATCAACTTTGATGGTAGGAGAGTTCAAAGCTTTTACCTTGGCAGAAAACCACAGTATATACTCCGAACCGAAGAGGGATAAAGAACACAGAATGCTCTGCTGAACAGCTTCTGTTGAAAAGAAGCAACTCTCAGTTGGTTTTCCCGGAAACGGAGAAACTTTGTGTTGGGATTCTTGGCGGTGAAAAGAAGCAACCTTTCTGTCAGTTTTCCAAGGAAACGAGAGAAACTTCCTGGAGGGAAATTTCTTTGCTTTGGGTTTTGAGAGAAGATGGGATGATAAATGTTCAAGGAGGGAAATTATCCGAAAAAGGAGAAGCTTTTGCGGTGTTTGGAATGGCGGGAAGAACGAGGCAGTGTATGGTCAGGGGCAGCAGATCTGGGAGTGCTGGACATCGAGCTCTGTACTGTATCATTCTTGGCATCAGAGGCTCGTGGAAGAAGAAACTTGCAGCCCATCTTGACGAGACGAGGCGAGCTCAAGGAGCTAGAGGACTTGCTCACTCTTTTCTTAATTTCCTGCTTGATACTCTGAAACTCCTCTTCTAGTTCTCCAACTCGTGACCTCATTTTCTGCATATCAACTTTTAAAACCCGGTTCTGGCGCACAACAGTCACCCACCCATCTCTCTGAACTATCTCCTGTCCTGTTGTCCTGCCTGGAATGGTCAGTGCATGAGCTGTTTCATTGTTTGCAACATTGAGACCGCCTGCAAGAGCGGTTCTGAGATGCATTTGTTCAAAGAAGAGGACTTGAAGAACAACTCTGAGCGGTAATCTGTCGTTATGGGAAGCATGAGCACAAGCGTCTATGGAGAGT